CAACTGATTTTTGTATGTTGATCTTGTATCCTGCTACTTTGCTGAATTGGTCAACTACGTCCAATAGTTTTCTTGCTGAGTCTTTAGGGGGCCATCTCCTTTATCTTGTCCTGGAGTCTGTTGTTTTGCCACATTCCTTGAGAGTCTGTTTTTATTGTCATATAGCTGCATTCCTTGAGGGTCCAGTTTCTATTGTTTTGCCACATTCCTCAAGGGTCAGTTTCTATTGTTATATTGCCAGTCTTGGTCAAAACCAGTTCTGATTGATCTCCATTGTCAGCATGTCCTTTGCCATTCTCTGTCACAAGTTCACTAGTGCTGCTGCCACGCCAAGTGTACAGATAGCCTTGGAGTGGGGTGGGGGTAACGCTAAGCCAGCTTCTCTGGAGTTGACGCCTGCTCTTGGTGCCCGTGTGGGTCAGAGGAGAGCTGTACTCACAGGCTTTGCAATGGCTGGTCTTATAGAAGGGGCTCACCAGGATATTTCTTCCTAGGCACCTCCGTGAGGGTTGCCCAGTTAAGCACTCAGGATTCAAGTCAGAGCTTATATTATCTCCTGTTTGCTACTGACAAATGTGTGAGCTAGACAAGTTATGGAGTCTCTTGATCCCGTCTGAAAATGGGCGCATCACAGCCACTTCACAGGACCGCAATGCTAGTACAATACTGTCTTTTTATTTGGCCCGCAGCACGGTGCCCCTTGTGGGGAGCGCTGCAAACAGTTCACATTAGCTGAGCTGCTAACTGCAACACTGGAGGTTCTAATCTAGTCAGAGATGCCTGGGAAAAAAGGGGTTGAGATTGACTCACTTCCTAAAAATTAGCCATTTGGAGCCCAGCTCTACTGTGACTCGCAGGGGCGTTTCTGTAAGTCATGATCCAGGATGCAGCTGGCAGCACAGTGTGTGGGCACAGCACGGTGTCACCACTGGGGATGGTTTGGGCAAAGATCCTTCCCACAGAGGAGCTTCCTGCCAGTCCTTCTGTCCCTCTTCCTAACCCTTTCTGGGTGAAGCGTTCTCCGGGTCAGCTTGCATTAAGAACCCTCTGCTTATGTCTCATGTTCTAGGGAAACCATGTAGCCATTTACTTTGTTGCTGACCCAGATGAAACTCAGATTAAGAAGTCAACTGTGTGACAGGAAATCCAGCTGGTGAGGCCCCACCCTGGGGAGGGGGAGAAGGAGCATCAGCCCTTGTGCGGACCCTCCTGCCCCAGCCTCCTACTTCCAGCCACAAGGAGCGGCTCAAAGGCAGGAACAGGTTCCTTAACACAGTGCTCAAAGCTCCTCCCACTGACAGCCCAGGCTTTGGGTCGCAGATTCTTCGGACTTGAAACCTGGGAATCCTCTCAGCCTTGCTCTTCTTCCCCTATTCCTTCCTGGCCTTAATTTTGGTCCCTAATCTCCTTTGGTTGTGATGGCTGCTTACCTGCCTTGAACTTGGTTCTTGGATAGAGTCAAGTTCATGGTGTCATATTTCCAGCTCCATCCATATCCATGATCTGTCTTGACTCACACACTGATATCAGCTATGAGGAAGCAAGGCTGGGGCTACCCTTTCTGATATGATCTAATTAATATGAATGATTAAACTGTGATCATCTTCTGGTGGATTTTCTGAAGGTTGATCCCCTGAGTTCACATCACAGCTCCATCATTTCTAAGCCTTGTGCTTTTAGATAAGTCACTCTATATCCTTGATCATCAGTGTCCCCATCTGCAAAATGGGAGCAGTAATAGGTCTGCCCATAGACTCTCATGGAGCCTTTGTGAGATTTAAATGAAAGAAAGGATGCAAAATGCATGGCCTAGTTCCTGACATGGGAGGTGCCCTCCATAAACTACAGCTGTAGCCCTGTCGCCAAGATGTCGTTCCCCAAGTACAAGCCATCGCGCCTGGCCACTCTACCTACTACCCTCGACCCAGCCGAATACAACATCCCTCTAGAGACCCGGCGGGCTCAAGCCGAGCAGCTGGCCATTAGATCCCGGCTTAAACGGGAGTATCTGCTTCAGCTCAATGACCCCAACCGGAAGACGATCATTGAAGATCCTGCCTTGATTCGTTGGACATATGCAAGATCAGCAAATATATATCCCAATTTCAGGCCCACTCCCAAGCTCGCTATCACAGGAGCTGTGTTTGGCCTTGGGCCCCTCTTCTCCTGGTACTACGTTTTCAAAACCGAGAGAGATAGAAAAGAAAAACTTATCCAGTAAGGAAAATGGGAACGACCATTTAACATCTCATATTAAGTGAGACAGAGATGACTGTGTATTATTGTTTAAATAAATCTTCTATTAATCATTAAAAAAAAAACAACCAAAAAACTACAGCTGTAATTACCATTGTTATTTACAGATGTGTGAATTAAGGCATGGCACCATCGTCCCTTTCTTTGGTATTTGTACGGAACCCCCAAACATCTGCATTGTCACCCAGTATTGCAAAAGAGGAAGTCTGAAGGTAAGTAAGTAAAATGGGAAATCTTACCTCAAGTTAGAGTAGTGTCAGCTGTTGAGGAACCATATCAATGCTGTTCCCACGCTGGTCCAAGGAGAGATCCTCTCTGGTCTTTTTGCAAGATCTGAATGATCCTGTTAGACTCCGGCAGGGAATCAGATCGGCACCTGTGTTTGGTCTCCTTTGTTCCGGGTGGAAGCGTCTGAGGTTGGCTTGCTCTCCTGAGACATCACTGTAATTCTTTATTGTGATCCTGGGACCATTCTGCATGTGGTATGTGATCATCAATCTGCCATCAGGAAGAAGGAAGTGTTTGGAAAGCTGAGGACTGTGTACTTTTTCAATATTGAGTCAGTGCATGTCTGGGGGACAATGAGGCTGCATTGAGCCCTGGTGGTGGTGGAATGCTGACTATATGTTGGGCTGCTGACCAAAATCTAACAGCCGTACTGAAAGAGGGAAGATATAACAGTCTGTTCCCATTAAGATAGACTCAAAGTAGAAGGAGGGTCGCTGTGTATCAGATCAACTTGATGGCACTGGGTTTGATTTTGGTTTTAGCTTCAAGTGGTTAAAATGAAAAAATAAAAACCAAACCAAACCAAAACCTCAATGTCATTGTCATTGAGTTGAAACACACAGCTCAACCTCCAGGAGTTTTCTGAGGCTGTAAATCACAGGGAGGAGAGTGCACTTTTCATCTGTGGAGCAGATGGTGGTGGATGCCCGTCTTTGGACTGGTAACATAATTCCCTATCCACCAGCCCCCAGAACTCCCTAGGTGATATTTTTGTTGTTATATACCATCAAGGCAGACCAACCCATAGCTGACCCTCTAGTGAGTTTCCAGAGGGAGTAAATTATACAGGAGGAGATGGCCCATCTTTCTCTCATGGAGAATCTTATAGATTAAAACCATGCATCTTTGGATTGGCAGTGCAATACCTTGCCACTAAACCACCAGAGCTAGGTAGTATTAGTTCCAGCCAAAAAGTAGCTATGTATTAGAGTCACATCCGTTCAATGAATGAAGCTCATTGAGCTCCTGGTTGTGTCACTGTCGATAATCGGAATAAATTTTTTATTAGGATGTGTTGGAAAAACTCAACTATTGAAATGGATTGGATGTTCAGACTCTCATTTGCATATGACATCACCAACGTGAGTATGACTTAATCTTTGTTAAGGAAGAAATTTGTTTTCCTGAGGATTTCTCTGCCTTGGATTAAAAGTGAGCTGTGGTCTTCTCTGAAAATTCTGGTCTTCCTCCAATCTCTTCTTTTTTAAAAGCTACCACTTTACTCAGTTTGCCCATAGGTTTCTCCCTCTGTGGTCTCAAGGGAAGATGGAGAAAGTATTTTATACTAAAGTATCTTATATAAATTAATCTAACACTATGTCATTATATTTTATATTTGTATTTTATACTGCTGTTGTTATATTCCATCCAGTCAGACCTGACCCTTCACTGAGTGGGTTTTCAGAGGCAGATTCACATGGGAGATTGTCCATCTTTCTTTAATGGAGTAGCTGGTAAGTTCAAACCATTATATAAATATAACTTAAAAATAAAATTCACTATGGAGAGGGTGAGACCAGGCTGCTCCTAGGAGGTAAGAATTCTGAAGCTTTGTCTGACATACTTTGGGAATGTTGCAAGGAGGGACCAGTCCTTGGAGAGAAACATGTTTGTGATGGTGGAGGGACAGTGCAAGGGAGGAAGACCCTCGATAAGATGGATTGATTCGGTGACTGGGGTCATGAGGGTAGGTGTGTCAAAGACAATGAGATTGGCAGAGTTTAGGGTTGTTATACGTGGGGTTGCTATGAGTCACAGGCACATAACAACAACATATAAACATAAACTATTGTATTTCATAATAGTTTATATTTCACTAGATTATTTTAGATTTTTGTCAAGTCTTTTACACTAAGGGTGGGTGCTAGACTTAGCCAATCAGAAAAGAGCAAGGACTGTACAATTTAGTGTTGGGTGTCTTACAGCAATGAGAATATAACTATGAGACCATGAGATGAGATGAGAAGGGACCTTCTTAATACTCCTGGAAATGGGAATTAGTGCCGCAATAACCCAGCACAGCTACTGAGGGGTGGGCTATGAATGTAGATGTGAGAAGATGTTGAAGCAGCCTGAAACTTTACTTTGGGACAATGGGGCTTTGGTGACTGAAAAGAAAAAGGAGAAGGAGGAGGAGGAGGGGAAGGGGGAGGAGAGAGGGAGGGGGAGGAGAAGGAGAAGGAGGAAGAGAAGGAGGAGAAGAAAGAGGAGGAGGAGGAGGAGGAGGGGAAGGAGGAGGAGGAGGAGAAGAAGAAGAAAATAACTAGACTATATTTGTTCTGATTTGGCTCCACCAGGCACTCTCTGGCAATTTGTATGAATTCACTTATTTACTTCTCATGATAAAATACACTATTATTCACATTTTACAGAGGAGAAAACAAGGCAATGAGAGTTTATACAACTTGCCCAAGACCCCATAGCTGGTTAAAGATTGAGCTTGGATTTGAACTTGGGTATTTTTTTGTAGTCTTATACCTTTAACCAGGAGCTCTAGAGTAAATGTTAGGCTGCTATTTGAAAGGTCTGTATTTCAAACCCATCATCTACCCCAAGGAAGAAGGACGTGGCAGCCATTTCCATAAAGATTTCTAGCCTTGGAACTCATCTGGGGTAGTGCTACCCTGCCCTAGAGGGTCGCTATGAGTTGAAATTGACGCAAGAATAATGAGCTTTAAAAAAAAAATCTGTAAGTAAAGCCCAGGTGGTACAATGGTTAAGCACTGGGTTGGTAACTGAAAGGTTAGTGGTTCAAATCCACCCAGTGGCTCCTCAGAAGAAAAAACTGGTGGTCAACTCACATAAAGATCATAGCCTAGAAAGCCACCTCTAGTGGAGTTCAGCTCTGTCCTATGGGGTCACTGTTGACTTGAGGTACCCCATGACATACCCTGATCCACTCTGTTATTCTGTGGCTCCTGTGTAATACTCTCTGGACCCCAACTTTGTGTGGATATAATGGATACAGTTGATCTGGCCAACATTGAAGGATTTTTCTTCCTCAAGGCAATAAATGCTCTTGTTTCTAAAGAGCTGAAACTTAATGGCCTGTGAAACTTTGATCTCCCAGGCCTTAGTGGGAAGCTAGCATATCATTATGAAGGAAAGCAGACAAATAGAAACCTCTCTGTGATTGGATCTCCATGGGCAACACCGGGCTTCCGTCATCAATATTTCAATAAACCCTCACTGAGCATCTGTTTTGGGATTAGGCACTTTTGTAGGAAAAGAAAGACTGGCTTCTGGTTGTGATTGGCTTTAATTATTTTAGCGACTGTGGAGGGGCTGTGGAATGTCTCATTGAGTTATATTTTACTTATAATACGCTGAGGTGACAGGATTTTGATACATTGACTTAAATGCACTCCTCAGCAGTATCATCTCCTTGCTGGAGAATTGGAACTGACAGCTGACCTTGCAGTGGGTTTCTGGAGGTGATAAATCTCATGAGAGGAGATTCCCTATCTTTCTCCTTAGGTATTGATGGATTCGAGCATCCAAAGGTACCACCTTTGGCTTAGGAGGATGCCACCAGAACACCCTAAGTGGAAAATTGATGTTTAAACTTAATTTTACAGTTTTCTCTTTTTAAATTTATCCATAAATTAAAAACTACACAAGTTGTTTGCTTTATGTTTTTTTATAGCATGAATTTGGAGAAACAATGAAAGTTATACAGTTGTTCAGGTCTTTTGTTCATAGGGTCACTATGAGTCCTCTATGACTCAGAAGTACTTAACAACAACAGCACCAACATTGAGAGAGCTCTGTGGGCCTGGTGGATAGAAAGTTATACTAACAAGTCAATGGTGGTTGATTTTAATCTATGGCCCTCAGGCCTGGTTTTAACTGTTTTTGGTAAGACATTTTTCTAAGTGGTATAGCACTGGTCTGTCCATTTGCTGTGCAAAGGTAACTCGTGGTTGTTGTGATGCTAAACACTGTGGCACTGATGTGTCAAATGTGATAATGGTTACCCATGGTGGACAGTGTTTGGTGGAGCTTCCCAATTAAAACAAGCTTAGGATCAGGAGTGGCATCCACTTCCAAAATAGCTTGTCTCTGGAAACTTTATGAACTCGGAGAAATGATGAATGTTATACAATTGTCCAGGTCTTCCATTCATAGGATCACTATGAGTCACCTACGGCTTGATGGCATCTAACAACAACAGTAATATTAATAATAAACTCCACTATTACTTCATTACCCACTGCCATGGTGCTGATTGAGATCAGAGCAATCCTTAATCAAGTTTTCAAGACTGTGAATCTTAATGAGAGGAGACTGCCTATCTTTCTCCCATGGAACAGCTAGTGGATTTGATCAGCTGAACTTTTGGTCAGCAGTCCAACATGTAATGCATTACACCACCAGAGTTCACTCATTAATTCTTCACTAACTTCAATATCACTAACTTCAAGTATTAATATGAAATCTATTTTAAAGCGGGGTTGGAGGGAGTGAGCCTTTGAAAGATAAAGGACCTAGTTCACTGGTAAGAGGCAGACAGGATTTTCAAACATCTGCAGCCAAGGCTGGGCTCTTCCAGCGGTACTAGGTAAACCCCTGCTGAGTATCAGTTATTGCTGTTATGTACCATGGAGCTGGAGCTGACTTATAGCTGACCCTCCGTGGATTTTCAGAGGCAGTTCACACAGAAAGAGATTGCCTATATTTTTGCTGTGGAGCAGCTGGTCAATTTGAACCATACGCCTTTGGGTTGGCAGTGCACCAAACCCATTGTCACGGAGTTGATTTCTTTTTTTTTCTTGGATTTATTATTTTGTGTGTGTGTACCATTAAATCGGATCTGACTGAAACAGGAGGAGATTGCCCCCCCATTTCTCTAGCAGAGCATCTGGTGGATTTGAACTGTGTTGTGAGAAGAGACCAGTCCTTGGAAAGGAACATCATGCTTGGGAGGGTGGAGGGACAGCGCAGGAGAGGAAGGCCCTCTATGAGGTGGATTGATTCAGTGATTGGGATAATTTGGATGGGAGTGTCGGAGACAGTGCGATTGGCACAGGACAGAGCGGAGTTTAGGGCTGTTGTACATAGGGTCACTATGAGTCGCAGGCGACTCGACAGCACATAACAACAACAACAACAACCTCTGGGATTGCAGTGCAGCTTCTTGTCACTAGGCCACCAGAGCTCCCTGGTTGAGCTTCACAAAGATGCTGTGTGTCACAGGGTTTGTCTGTCAGTTTTATGGAGGCAGGTTTGAACTGCCAACCTTTAGGTTAGTAGCTCAGCTCAAACCATTTGTGCCTAGCAGGGATCTCTACCAGGAGACAGTTGTGGAAACGAGAGGGAGAGCTAGTGTGAACCTCCGCCAACTTTTTAGTAAACGTAGGAACAGTCAGCAGACATGTGGTCAGACTGCCAAGAGTAATGAAATCTGGCACATAAAATGTGAAGCTTCTCATTCTGTTTGTTCTTTGTCAATATCAATAAAATCTGATGCATTGCCCATCAAGACAGGAAATACAAAGAGATGTGTGTTTTCTCTTTAAGAAGCTCACACAGCTGAGAGTTCTGCTGTTTGCACTGTGATGGGAAGAGCTCCCATCAGAAGTGAGGAGAACAGAAAATCCCTCGTGGGTGGCCTGAGTGCAGGGAAGGGAGCAAGTACAGTGAGCTGGTGCGAACCAGGGTGGTCCATGGCCCGGCTGTCCTGCTTGCAGTTTCAGAGACTGAAGAAAGCCTTCATTGACGATTGTAATTGCCCTCAGTGTAGCTGGGGCATTTACATAAGATCAGAAGGGCCTTCCCGCTAGGGCATGGTGTTCATGTAACTTCTGGCCATGACCTTGGCCCATTGGAGCCTGGCTGCGGGACCCTGAAGAGGCAGCCACCTCTAGCACCACATGTCGGAGGCCTGCCTCAGTCTGTAGGGCATGTCTGTTGAGTCTTGTTGAACGGGCTGCAATTCCCCCATGAGATTCAGCTGTGTAATTTCACGGACACTGAAATCCCACTGATAAAGGAACACAGCCTACTGGTGTTTTGTTTTACAGGCAGACATCATTGAATTTTTTTTTAACGTTTCGTTTTGTGTAATCTCAACAAAAGTAAAATAACCAAAACAAATATATAAGCTACTTTTGGTGCCTCGTTGTCATTTGTACTATATACTGGCCCACCAGGAAAACCAAAGTACTCCACGTTCAGCATAGTTTCTAAAAGTATGATTTTGGTTTACATACTTGGGAGGGAGGCAGAGGAGAGGAAGGGTGCCCAGCCACTGTCTCAGGCATTTCCTTCTGGAATCAGTCCACATTTTAAATGCACTTTTGCCCTGAGCTCTTTCTAGGGTAGGACAATGGCTCAGCTTTAAGAACTCCAGAGGAAGAGGCGAAGCCCAGACCTGGTGCCCCAGGGACCGAGGGCTCTGTCCTCAGGTGTAGTAGCCAGTTCAAGACACCACCTTCTACACATCCTTCCTTCTGGTGCCTCCTCAGAGCCACACTCATGGGTGACCCCCTTCTCAGCTGGGCTTGTGATTCCTTGCAGACTTGGCAGGAACCTTCCATCTTGGTGTTGGGGAGCACGGCTTTGATGCCTCCTCCGCCCTATCTCACTCACAATCTTCCAGGGCAAAGTAAACAGTAAAACTGAGTGACTTAGAGGCATCTTGGCTTTAAATCTCAGCTCTGTTAACTGCTCCTGGAAGCAGTTAACAACCCGATGAGCCTGAAAACTTGGAGACAGAGAAAGAAGACACTGAAAATCCCTTTGTGGATTCTCGCTGAGTTCCTGTGAGTGCTGGAGCAGAACTGTGAAACGGAAGAGGACTTGCACGGTGGATTCTGGAGAAGCAGTTTGCCTGACCTTTTCCTTGAGGTACCTCTGTGGGGATTCAAAGCCTCAACCTTTGGATTGGAAGCTAAGTATGTTAACTATATGCATCACCCATTCACTCTTGTCCTGCACGCAATCTGCAGCTTATAAAGGTTCTCAGATTCCTCACTGACCTTGCAGCATTTGGACCTGAGTGTTGGGATATTGTTGTTACGTTCTGGCGCATCAGAACTGACTCACGGCTGACCCTCCAGTGGGCTTTCAGAGGCTACAAAATGGACCAGAGGAGCTTGTGAATGTTTTTCATTTGAAGCAGCTGCTGGATTCCAGTCGCCTGTTTTTGGGTTGACAGTTAACTCCTTACCCACTAGGCCACGGGACCCCACATTCCATGTTATGGTGCTTCATTATGATTTGGAGGCTCTGGGGTCACAGGGTGGGGATGTGTGTCACTAATCCGATCGCCTCTGTGGTGGTTTTGATCCAATGGCTGCTTCTCGGCCAAAGGTGGACAGTCTCCTCCTGTGTGACGTATGGCCTCTGAACACCTGCGGAAGATCCGCTGTGAGGCAAAGCTGCCTCGATGGACAGCAGTGGATGATTGTTAGACAATAACCAAATTCAAACTCGCCTTTTTTTTTTTCAGTTGTTTCCAACTCATAGTGAACTCCAGTGGGTTTCTGAGGCTGTAAATTGCAATGGAAGAACACTGCCTATTCTTCCTGCAGAGCCACTGCTGGATTTGAACTGCTGAAGGCGCACACTCTTTGGATTAGAGGTGCAATTCTATATAGGCTATAACAGCAGACCTTGTTGTATATGATAATGATAATAATAAAAGTAATATAACAACATGCAATCCCTCAAGAACACAGATTTTTCATAGACAAGAACATAAACATTTTCCAGTGTTCCTTATTTTATTGCTTTTTTCAATAAAATGCTCAAACAAGACCCTTAATTGCATGCAATAGTATTATCATTAATAAATGTCAGTAATAAAATACTATTAATTGCACAGTATTTTAATATACTGATACTATTTATTATACTGATACAAGCTTTCATGATAACTTATATTGAGTGTTTATTATGTATGTGATATGATATCTGGTAGCTCATGTGTACAGATTGTTATTCTTGATCTCCGCCATTAGTCTATCGGGTAGACACTATTGTTACCTCCAGTTGGAGACTTGTGGAGTGAAGGCGTATGCTCCGGTAGAGTAGTCTGTAGAGAGCTGGGCTGATAACTCAGAGGTGCTGCTTCTCTGGTGGTTTGGATCCACCAAACAGCTCCAAGGGAGAAAGATGGGCAACATCCTCCTGTGAGATTTAGTCTCCCCAAAACTGCTGGAGGGAGTTCTGGTGGCCCAATGGGTAGGGGGTTACACTGTCATCTCAGAAGCTTGTGGTTCAAGTCCACTAGAGGCTCCACAAGAGAGAGATAGGCAAGCTCCTCCTATGCGATTTTCAGCCTCCAAAAAACATAACAACAACTTCTGACTGGTCAGCGTAGAGTCGGTTCTGACTTGATAGCAATGTGTGTTTGAGTGAGTGAGGGGAGTTAAGTAACTTGCCCACCTGTAGGTGGTAGCGCTGAGATCTTTTTACAAAATAATAGTTTATTTACAAAATTCCAATACATTGTTTTTGAGAACAGATCCTTCCAATTTCCCTCACACCCCCCCCATCAAATTGTACAATCCCATCATTAATACACCCCCTGGACATTCTCATCCCTCTGCTTCCTCCCTTCACCTTCCTTGGATCCTTATACTCATTCTACAATAGTGGTTTTATATAATCTTTGTCCTTGTGGGCCTGAGTTAGTTCACTCAACATAATGCTCTCCAGTCCAAACAGACACATGGAGAAACGCTCCAAATCACTGGCAATAAGAGAGATGCAAATCAAAACCGCAATGAGGTATCATCTCACTTCAGTAACAGTGGCAAAGATTATCAGGACAGCAAGTAATAAATGTTGGAGAGGATGTGGCGAGAAAGCAACTCTTATACATTGTTGGTGGGATTGTAAAATGGTACAAGTACTCTGGAAGGCAGTTTGGTGCTTCCTCAGAAAGCTGAACATAGAAATGCAGATGACCCAGCCTGTCCACTACTTGTAATATACCCTGAGAGAATGAGAACTGAGGCATAAACAGATTTGTACACCAATGTTCATAGCAGCATTATTCACCATTGCAAGAACATGGAAACAGCCCAAACGTCCAACCAAAAACGAATGGATTGAGAAATTATGGTACATTCACACAATGGAATACCATGCAGCGCACAGGAGCAATGGCTTAGTAAATTATTACCTAACTTGGTAGAGCTGGGATTGTAATTTAAAGGTCCAGTTGTTAAAAACCCCACTGCTGTCCTGTGGAATCTGTCTCCTAGCGACGCTCCACGCAGTTTCTAAGGCTTTGAATTTGTGCAAGAGGACACTGCACACATTTCTCCTGCTAAGTGGCTGGTAGATATGAACTGACAACCTTATTAAGTACGATGTCACCAGGACGTCCTTTCTTGCCTTTATTGTGATGAGTGGACAGAAGTGATTTTCTCCTGTGTTGATGTCCCTGCTGACAAGAGCTCTTGCAGCTTTAGTACCTTTCTTGTTGATTTGGTAAGACAAAGGTCAGAGGCTTGACCCACCCCATCAGCTACTCCTCTGAAGAAAGAGGAAGAGGCTTTTCTCTTAAAGACGAGAGAGAGCCTGGAAGCCTATCGAAGGTTAGCATGAGCTGGAAAGGACTAGAAAGCAAGAACAAGTAGATTTGCCTTAGAGAAAAGTAAAGCCAGAGTATTCCTTGGAGGCAATGATGACCAACACATACTACGGACATGTCATTAGAGGCTATTCCTTGGAGAGGGACACGATGCTTGGAAAAATGGAGAGTGAACGAAAGAAGACCCTCAACGAGATGGATTGACACAGTAAACGCTCAGTGGGCTTGAGTATTGTCTGAGATAATGTGGCTGGCACCGGATAGGGCAGGGTTCAGGTCTTCTGTTCATAGGATTGCTATGAGTGGTACTCAAAGGCACTTAGCCACGAACAACAGCAGTGTGTTAGGGGCTATGGTAGTATATATAGCAGGCTAAGTGGAGGATTGTTAACTGGAGGGTCAGTAGTTTGACAGGACCAGTGGCTCTGTGAGAGGAACTTTCTTCAGGATTTAGACCCTCAGAAACTCAATGGAGAGTCTCCATGGGTCTCCATGCCTCAGGGGCGAGGGGTTTGATTTCCCTCAGCCCCCGGCTCTGAGTGAAGCCCTGATGGGACCCTTGGCTTCTCTGCACCTGCGTCTGTCCTTGTTTCCACTGTGGGCGCAGGCCCCTGACCAGCCCCACGGCCTCGCTCTCTGTCCTCCAGGGCATGTACTTCCTCCACCAGAGCCCCCTGGCATCCCACGGCAACCTGAAGCTGACCACCTGCCTAGTGGATGGGCGCTTGAAGGTGAAGCTGTCCGGCTTTGGGCTGTGGACGCTTAAGTGTGGACGGACAGAGAAGACTTAAAACGAGCGAAGCACGGACTATTCAGGTGAGCAGGGGAGGTGGTGAGCTTGGGGCTGGGCACCAGCTAGTGCGTCTTTTCAGAGGATGGTCTTTATTTGCACTTCGGGGCACACCCCTCAGGGCCCTTTAGGTCAGGCCTGCCCAGGGCCCATTTCTCAGGGCCGGATGTTTTCCTGCCTGCTGTTTCCTGAGCTAGAGGGGGTGGCGTTTGTGGATCTCAGGCCCCCGCACTGTCCCCTGCTCTGCAGAGCTCTACTGGACCGCCCCAGAGCTGCTGCGCCTCCCGGGGCACCCTGTGCCAGCACCCCACAGCGGGATGTCTACAGCTTCGGGGTGATCATGCGACAACTCATCCGCCACCAGGACCTCAGCGTGGGACTCCAAGGTGACCCAGGCCGCCTTTGAGGCTCCCTCCGAGCTGCTTTTAAATGTCCATTTTTAGTAATTGTCTTGTGAATTGTCCAATTAGTTTGTCTCCTTATCTTTCATTTTCCAAATACAGACTTTTTTTTTTTTAAAAAAATAAGAAAACAAATTGCATTTTGGCTACAAAAAATAATCAAGATTTACAAGGTTGGACAAAGAGGCAGAACATGGTGGTGACATTCATTGACTATTCATTAAAATAATTTGCATGGAACTTATTACATAGAATTCAGAATTGCTTACAACTGCCTTTGGGAATGTCCAATGCTATTTGCATATATGTTCCTAACATCTATAGGGTCACCATGAATAAGAGTTGACACACCTCAAAATTTTTATTTTTATTTATTTTAATGAAAGTTTACAGAAACATTGGATTTCCCTTCATTCATTGTTGCGCACTTTCCTCTCTGTCCACCCCTTTCTCCCTGTTCACTTTTCTCTTTGCAAAGTAAAACCAAAAAAATTTTAAAAAATACTATTTCATTGTTATACAGTCCCTCCCCCCAAGTCCACTCCACTATGCAGCTTTCATTCTGGACTCCTGTCATTAAAATAGTGTTGTTGTTGTTGTTGTTGTTGTTATGTGCCATCGAGTCGTTTGCGACTCATAGTGACCCTATGTACAACAGCCCTAAACCCCGCTCTATCCTGTGCCAATCGCATTGCCCTTGACACACCCATCCCGATTACCCCAGTCACCGAATCAATCCACCTCATAGAGGGTCTTCCCCTCCTGCGTTGTCCCTCTACTCTACCCAGCATGATGTCCCTCTCTAAAGACCTGTCTCTCCTTACAACATCAAAGTATGTCGGACAAAGCGCCAGAATCCTTGCCTCCAAGGAGTAGCAGCTCTCTCCCTCATCTGTTTCAGGGCAGTATACATTATTTATTCCTTCTTAGTTTACCCCTAACTCCGATGTCAGTCCCGCTTTACAACAGTAGCACTATGTAGTATTTGTCCTTTTGTGACTGAGATATTTCACTCAGCACAATGTCCTCCAGGGTCACCCATTTTGTATAATATTGCACGAGTCCCTTGGTTTTCAATGCAGCGTAGTATTCCATTGTGTGACTATACTACAACTTCTCTAGCCATTCATTTGTTGAACCCCTGAAAATATTTTTAATTAGATTTTTTTTTAATCTTTTCTTGTGTACCATCAAATTGGATCTGACTGGTACTGGAGGAGATTGTCCCGCCTCCTTAGCAGAGCATCTGACGTATTCAAACCGCTCACCTCTGGGATTGCAGTGCAGCTGCTTGCCACCAGAGCCTGATGAAACCCTGAAAATTTTTAAGAACTCATATAGAAGGGCTTCGTCTGACGTACTTTGGACATGTTGTAAGGAGACACAGGCCCTTGGAGAGGGACATCATGCTGGGTAGAGCAGAGGGACAGCGCAGGAGGGGAAGACCTTCTATGAGGTGGATTGATTCGGTGACTGGGGTAATCGGGATGGGTGTGTCAGAGGCAATGTGGTTGGCACAGGATAGAGCAGGGTTTAGGGCTGTTGTACACAGGGTCGCTATGAGTTGCAAACGACTCGACGGCACATAACAACAACAACAACAACAACAACAACATATAGAAGGGTACATTCCTCCAAGAAAAGCTGACTTAAAAAATTCTTTTTAAAAACCAAACTTGATTCCAAAACAGATTAACTCACACCTCATTGCCATTGAACTGGAACCTACTCAGAGCTGACCCTCTATTGTGTTTTGGAGCTTTTAAATCAAGGAGAAGAGGCCTGTTCTCCAGAGCCCTCCACGTAACCTCCTGTCTCCCCGTCATTGCAGTTAGTGGCAACCAGCTCAGAGCTGACCCTGCAGCAGGTTTTCAGAGGCTGCAAATCACTGGAGAGAAGAGTGCCTTTCTCTCATGGAGCACCTGGGGGATCCCAACCACCTGTTTCTGCGTTGACAACACAATGTTGTACCCACTAGGCTGCCCGAACTCCCTCCTGATTAACTGTTGTTGTTGTTGTTATGTGCCATTGAGTCAGAACCTACCCAGAGCGGACCCTCCAGTGGATTTTCTGAGGCAGTAAATCACATGGGAGATTGGCTATCCTTTTCCCTCAGAGCAGCTGGTGGATTTGACCTGTATACCTTTGGGACCGCAGCACAGCTTCTTAGCACCAGGCCGCCTGAGGGGTGCTTATATGCTGTCTGGTGACACAGGGGTTGAAGAGATCAGTGGTTGCAATTCCCTCTCTGCTCTGCAGGAGGCAGAGGTGGCCATCTGCTCCTGTGGTAAAGATGGCAGCCTTACAAAGTGGACAGGGCAGCTGTGCTCTGCCCTACGGGACCTCCATGAGCTGCAGTGGGCGGGGCTCACAAAAGTGGGAAGTATTTGCTTTACTTCTTCCCCTTCCCCCAGGAGGGTTTTGAATATTTCTCTTAAAACACCCAAATTCCTCTGAAATGCTAGTCTGCTTCCATTCACTTACAAATTTTCCAGTTCTAGGACCTCAAACCTTTAACAAACTCACCAAATGAATTTCAGAAATCATCAACCAAATCAAAAAACCCCACGTCCACAACTCCACTGAGACCCTCCCTGTCAGAGGAAGAGGGCATCGGAAACCTCGTGGGCATGGTGAAGGCGTGCTGGGACGAGTCTCCAGAGGAAAGGCCCAGTTTCTCTTCCATCAAGAAAGTTCTACGAGAAGCCAGCCCGAAGGGGTGAGTTAGACACGCGGTAGCTATTCTCTTCTCGTCATTGGAGCCATAGAATCTAAACTGGCAAGTGCTGTGATTGGTGCTAGTAGCAATGACTCAGTGAATTAATAATTTGTTTTATTCACCGCCTACTCATCTTTTACCACTTGAAACACTGGGCTACATGCTCCTTAAAGTGAAGTGATAACATTTCCCTTCATTTTAGAGTGATTGTAAAAACACCTCTAGAAGGAATGTGCCCACGACCTTCTTGTTGTATTTCAGACATCACTAGTCCATCAAGCCAATCTTTCCCCAGCTAGTCTTGACATGGCCTAGGAATCCTCCTCAACCAGCATTCCAAGAGTCCTAAAGATCACCTGGCATTGGACTGTCAGATAAAAATTGTTCACCAGCCTTAGATTGCTGTCTTCAACTCACATTGCTCAACATTTTTCTTCAGGGTAGCTTGTTTTATGTCATAATTGCTTACCTTCTTTCTCAAAGACTAGTTTAAAAGGATTTCTCTGAGAACCCTTTGTTAACGTACAGCATCTAAAAGTATCTCTTACATTAAGCAATCTGAAAAAATAAAGGATGACTTGTCTTCAACTCTGCCAAGTTGTAGATGGCTATGGCAGTGGTATGTAGCATATTGGGACATATTGGCAGGGTCAGGAATCGCCGGCATTTGGTCAGTGCCAAAAAAGGAGCTAGATCCTTTACACATACCACGTTCTGAATCCTTCAAACAGCCCTGCCAGGTATGTACTATTATGCCCACTTTCCTGATAAGACGACTGAGGCTCAGAAGTATAGAAGGTGCTGCCCAGGGTTACAGAGCTAGTTATTGACAGACTGTGTCCTGATATATGAGTTCATGGCCATTGTCATTCCAGTGTTGTCCATTGGCAACCCTGAAGCAGGACACCTTAAGGGCAAGAAAGCCTTTCTTGGAATATGTCCTTGGCAGTTCTGTTCCACGGTGGCCTTAAAGTTTTCAGAAAAAAGGTTTAGAGACTTGGCTCTTTCCAAGCAATAAAAGCATGTTGGGGGCGGGGGAAGTCTTGCTTCTTTTTCAAGTCACGTGAGCATCCTTGACAGCATGGTAAACAAGCTGAAAGTGTATGCTGGTCAACTGAGGGAGGTGGTGGATGAGAGGACCAATCTGCTGATGGCAGAGAAGAGAAAGGTGGAAAAGCTTCTGGCCAGGATGTTGCCCAGGTAGTCCCAAGCATTGGGGAGTCCAAGGAGGGACAGCCTCTCCACCTAAGATGGCCTACACGGAGAGCACACGTTGGCCGCTTCTTCTGAGATGACACGGAGCTATCCTCAAATTGTACAGAGATTTTGCCCGTAATTTGACAGACTTGGATTCTATAAAGGGGAGGAGATAGACACAACCCCCCTGCCCCGAATCCATACTAAAATTCAAACCAGCAGATTTTCTGAGACTATAAATCACACAAGAGCAGATTGTTGTCTTCCTTCTGCAGGACTGTGGATGGATTCGAACTGCCGGAGAAGCACCACCATTGGTTTAGTAGAATAACTCCTTATGGACTCCAAAGGAATGCCCCTCTTGAATTCATGTTGTGTGTCTTAGAGTCATAACTGATTCATACACAGCTGGCCTTGGAAGCAGGTTTTCAAAAGCTGTAGATCATATGAGAGATTGCTTCTCTTTCTCCTGTGGAATAGCTGGAGAATTGGAATCACGTAGGCCGCAGAGCTCTGCTCCTGACTCCATAGGATGGAACAACTTTTACATCGATGGGGACTCTGGCAGCATCAACAGTACCACTAGATGGCGCTCAAGCTTCATGGGCCAGAGAAATCATGACAGGAGCATTTTTTTCCTCTGAAAGTTTAGTGCAATACGACGTGCCCTTAATAACTGCAAACTCAGAACGTGTTTCATTTTGGTTCTGCTTTTCACTCGTGCATACTCTGAACACATGGCAGAGGCATTTGCTATTTGCAATCCTGTGCCTTCCTTGTGTGCCTTGATAGATGCGAAGTTTGAAGCAAAAACACTGCTTTCTGGATCAGTGAATGATTGCATTTGTTTCCACATCTGCAGGCCAAGTCTTTGCAATTACACTCCCTAACAAATAGAGGAAAATGAGAGGCTCTTGGGGGAATAAATGTGTTTATGCAACTCTTCTCTTTCCCTACTATATACTCACCAATTAAAACATCTCCTTAGAGAATATACAATTGGAGAAATGAATATCAATGGAATTCCTCTAACATGATTTATTCTATTACCTCAAAACTTCATCCTCTGAAACACACAGATCTTTAAGTACAACTCTGTGGGGGCCTTGGGAGATAATAGGAAATCAATTCCATGAGAATAGATTTGATTTTGGTTTGGTAAGAAAAAAAAACCTCTTTGATGGGTTGTGATGGGCTGTCAAGCCACCACCCAGCAGCACTAATCTACCCACATGACATCACTAGGAGTTGGAATTGATGAGACAGCAGTGGTTTTGCTTTATCAGTCTGTTTATTTGTTTAGTAGGAAACAAGATGAATGTGATGCTATGAAAAGAAAAAATCTCATGTTCTCTGGTTTCAGTTTCATTGGAGAGCAGCTCATAGCTGGGAAGTCTGTGGAACCAGAACATTCTGACTCGGTGACAGTCTTCTTCTCTGACATTGTTGGATTCACAAAGCGGTGTGCTCTCAGCTCCCCTTCGCAAGTTGTAAAGCTTCTCAACGACCTGTATAGCTTATTCGATGGTATCATTACAACCTTTGATGTGTACAAGGTGAGCTGCCCGGTTCCCTCGTGGGAAGGTTGCTCGCATGCACGTGCTCCTGGCCAGCTGTCTCCCAGGATCTGTCTGAAGAGGAACCTGGCCTGGGCATCACGCACAAAGAAGGTTCTGTTCCAGACAGGAAGTCCATCTCAGTTCATGACAGGAACTCAATACTTTATTCCTGTTTGTTTTCGTGGTAAAGGGCTTGATTAATCAGAGATTCATGTGCTTGTCAAGAATCACCAGAGGGCTCCTTCTGTCCTCTTCCATTATTTCCTTCAATAGTAACCTTTGTAAAGTTATTGACTTCTAGTGGCTAATTCCTCCCCTCCCCTCCTGAAAAAAAAAAAACACAAAAACTCTCCAGATCCGTTTTTACTTCTTGAAAGAGTGTCTATAGATTGTACATGGTTTCATTTTAGTTATCATGATGCTGAGTAATTCAAAGTGAGGGAGGGTAGAGGCACAATTTTAGTCTCTCAGTCTATGGCTGCAGCGGAGACAGCAGGTCAGCCCATTAACTCCCTGAGAATACGTGGATCTGACCATCTAGGAGGAAAGAATGTTTCTGAGGGGGTACCAAATCCAGCCCGCTGCTGGTGAGCCAATTCTGACTCATATTGACCCTTCATTGGGTCTCTGAGGTGGAAAATCTTCATGAGAGGGGACTAGTTTGAGTTATGCTTTAATGTTAGTCTGTGTTACTGACTGATGTTCTCACAGAGGGACAAGGCATCCTAGACCAAAATTGGGTTTGTGTACTAGTTGACTAGTGCACAAATAGTCATTTCAGGGTATCAGGCAAGAGGAGAAGTGGATGTTTTTACTGTTTGATTGTTGTTGTTATTGTGGTGTGCTGTCAAGTTAGAACTGACTCATAGCTGACCCTCCAAGCAGATTTTCAGAGGCAGTTAATCCCACGGGAGGGGATTGCCATCTGTGTCTTTGGATTGGCATCACAACTCCTTACCACTGAAATTCATTAGTACATCATCTTCCAATTTTGCTAAATGTGAGATATGTTTGTATGGATTGCAACTTTAAGCCCCAATTACCCATTGATTTCTCTATTGTGAATAAAAGATTAGAAAGTTGATTACAAGAACATTTGGTGAGAATAGACCAGGTAGGTAAATTTACACACAAAAAACTCTCAAACCTCACTGCTAAGAACTTGCACTGTAATCCCAAAGGCACGTGGTTCAAATCCACCGGCTGCTCTGCAGGAGAAGGATGGGGCAATCTCCTCCTGTGTGATTTACTGCCTCTGAAAGCACAATGAAGAGTCATCTGTGAGTCAGTTCTGACTCAAAGGCACACAACAACAACAACAACAACAACAACAGGTTTCAAAGGCTGCACACTTTAAGGGTTCACGTTACCCTATCTTTCTCCCGTAGAGCTAACTGATGGGTTAGAACCACCAGTTTCTCAGTTAGCAACCAAGCTCTTTAACCGCTGAGCCACCAAAGCCTCTTGTTTATGCACATGTGTAAATGCACTTTATACAGGAGCTTGTGTGTGTGTGTGGGGTGGTGGTGGTGAGGATGCTTCAGGCTGGATTCTTCATGGTCAACTTGATGTTGAAGTTCACCTCTCAGCGCACGGCTGCCTGCCGCACCATCCTGACCTTGGTCTGGGGAACTTCTCACCTCCCTGTAGATTTCAGAGGAAGAAGTGGCACTTCGGGGAGCAGACTCAGGGGAGGGAAGGACAAATAAAGGAGCAGAAACCTGAGGACCAACTGAGACTTGGGCGATTAGGTGTGACTCTTCCAAATATGCGTGTTGTTGTTGTTGTTGTTAGGTGCCATTGATTTGGAGCCGATCTGAACAGATCCTGTACCTCACTCCCAATCCCTAACACACTCAAGCCTGTTGCAGCGGTCACTGTGTCAATCCTCCAGGTTGGAGGTCTTTCCTTCGCTGCCCCTCCACCTGCCCAAACATGATGTCCCTCTCCAAGGAATAACCTCTCCTAGCAACATGCCCCAAGTATGTGAAACAAAGCTTCATCATCTTTGCCTCCAAGGATCACTCTGGCTGCACCTTTTCCTCGACATATCTGTTCTTTTGGCAGTCCATGGGGTATTCCGTACTCTTCACCACCATGGTTCAAAAGCATCAAGTCTTCTTTTGTCATCTTTGTTCATTGTCCGGTTCTCAGATGCCTAAAAAAGGCCATATATAGCTGGAGTCAAAAGCAGGGGCCTTGCTTGGTCTTGACCCTCCAATATCCAGGGGCCACGAGGCCACCTTCTGCTTTATTTTCAGGTTGGAACCATTGGAGATGCCTACATGGTGGCTAGTGGACTGCCTATTCGCAATGTGGTTCGCCATGTGGACGAGATGGCCACAATGTCCCTGCACTTGCTCAGTCACACCCTCTTCTTCCGGATTGACCACATGCCTGAGGAGAAGCTCAGGCTCCACATAGGTCTCCACACAGGTGGGGCGCCCTGACGGCAGGCCAGCCGTCCTTACTGCCCTCGTGTGGCAGTGAGTCGCTCTAAGTTTGAGTCCTAGCTTAGGTTGTTAAGAACTTTGACATAAGACAGCAGCATCTTCACAGGAAAAGAGGATTGAATTGTTAGTGAAACTGCCTGGTAAAACCCAGGACCCATAAAGGCTACAAGGTGTGTGTGTCAAACCAGAACACGGAGACCCGAGTTGTACAGTGTTGCTTTGCATACATGCTTCTGTCGCAAGCGCTCTCTGACCTGTTCTGATTCTGTCAAATTTCTGCCCAGGGCAGGCTTCATGGGTGTGCAGCCTGTACAGAGGTCTCTTCACTTGTTTTAATGCTTTCATGTCACTCTCTTGAAGTTCTTAGTTTTGGGACATAGACTCTCATCTTTGTTTTGTGCTCAGAGTAATTGCCATCAAGGCAGAACCAAACCATAGCTGATCTTCCATAAGGTTTTCAAGGGTACAAGTCTTTGAGATTGCCTGTTTTTTCCTCCCTTCAAGCCTTTGCTGGATTGGGGCTGCCAAAGATGGCTGTTTTTGTGTTTTGGGTTTTTTTTTAAAATATGTATTTTTTTATTGATTTTTATATAATAGTATCTTTACAGTATGTTTCATTCATATACATTGTGTTTTATATAAGTTTTTATTTACATTGTGTTTTATATAATCTTTATTCACATTATGTTTCATATAGTCATTCATATACATTATATTTTACATTATTTTTTATACTAGTTTATTGACAGAATTCCAATACATTGTTTTTCACACCAGATCCTTCCCATTTTGCAAACCCCACCCACCCATCAAATTATGTGAACCATGATTAATCCCCCCCAACACATACACAACTCACAGCTCTGCTTCCACCCTTCCCCCTTGGATCCTCATACTTATAATGGTTTTGTACAGTATTTGTCCTTATAGGACTGAGATCACTCAGCATCATGCTCTCCTGTCCCTCCCAAGTTAGGGAATGATTTACAGAATCATTACTCCTTTGTGCTGCATAGTATTCCATTGTGTGAATGCGCCTTTAGATTAGCAGTGCAATTCCCCCTGGATCATGCTTCCTAAAGTATGTTCAGCCTGTCCTGCTCCTACATATATCCTCTAAGGTTCCACAAATAGAAATCTGATCCCCAATCAGGATTCATTACTCTCCTGGCTGTGCTACTGTTGGCTTTGTCTAAATTTCTAGCACAGAAATGACACATTAATATTAATTGATTACATGGAGTTTCACCAAGTCTTTCGCCTCAGAGACTTACTGCCAAGCATTGCCCAAGAGGGAGCTTAACAAATATTTCTTTAATTGCATTCATTGACTTGATAAGCATGAAGCATCTGGCCTGGGGGAGCTGCCCCTTGGTTATGCCTTTTGATTCGTCTCAGGTCCCGTGGTGGCTGGCGTGGTGGGAGTTCCATGCCCAGGTACTGCCTGTTTGGAGACACGGTGAACATGGCATCCAGGATGGAAAGCAGCAGTTTGCGTGAGTATGCTTACTGCACTTTGCAGACACAGCACTGTGTCCCTCCACTGTCCTATCTTTAACCAGAGGGTTATTTTTAGAAGGCACATTTGCATTTTACCTACCCTTTTACCATCTGGAGGGGATGACAACACTGGTCATGAGTTTGGTGGGCAAGGTTTAGCCCTGGACTCTTTAATGCAACCTTGTAACTTACAGTTTCCTCTTTCCAAGACTTTCTATTCTACACAGTCCGACACATGGAGAAGAAAATAATTCATATTTTTAATCTTGAGCAAGAATTGCCATTTTGTTTTCTTGTAAGGGGCCAGATCACAAATATTTCAGGTATTTTGAGTTATAAGGTCTCTGCATAGCTAATAAACTGTCATTTTCTTGTAAAAGCAGTCACAGAAAATATATAATGGGCATGGCCATGTTTCAATAAAACTTTATTTCAAAACCAGGTGTTGTACTGGGTTGGTCGGTGGGTCGGGATCTGCCCATCTTTGGTGGGGATGATAGCCCTAATTTAGCAGAGGAAATCTCTGGCCAGGAAATTCAGGCAACATCCCATTCTTTTGCTTTACAATCCTTTTCTCATACAGACTATTACTTAAACCTGAGTACCCCTTATCAGCTGAAATACACAAAATTAATTATTCAATGATTGACGGTGCCAAGGTTTTGGTAAACATTCTCTTGAATCGGGCTGGGACTTGCATATCGTATATTCCCCATAACACATAAAAATGAACGAAACATTTTTCTGCTTATTAGTTGATTGTTCAAGGTAGTCAACTTTGTCTCAAACAGAGATCCCTCTCTTATCTAGTCAGTACAGACTTCGGGTTAAATTTTAATAGTCTAACTCCTTTTATAGTCTCCAAGTGTGATTCCAGTTGCCGTTCTGGTTACAAACAACATTTCCAATAATATATCCCAACTCCGGTACCTCCCAGGTACTTGGAGATTTTTTCTTTGCACTGAAATCTGAGAAGACCGCTTAATCTTCCTTCTTGGGAAGGGCTAACTTGTTGATGGAGTCAGCTCTGCCTTCTCTTTCTAAGCCAAACACGTCTTAGCAACACACAGCTGTGTTTGTCTGAGCCATGCCTGGGTGGGTGGTGGGAGGTCCCTGCCCAAACATCCCAGATTGCGGAGGAGAGTTGTTGAGTAGGAAGTCCTGGAGGTCTGAGAATTTGAGCAGTGAGGTGCTGCCTCTCCAAAGCTGCCCGTTTCATTGATGCCCCTATGAAAGTTCTGAGCAGGACGATGACCAGGCAATGATTGATTTATGACAACTCTCCGGATTCATGTCTGCCAGAGTGCCGCCTCCACCCTGCTGGCCTGGGGAGGGTACAATTTACAAAAGAGAGGCACCATTGACGTCAAGGTAAGTTCAGCCGACCGCACCCCACTTTCTCCATGTGGATCTCTCATGGAGATTGGTGAGGAGCTTGGTTGCATTTATGATTCCACTCCATACGGTGGTGAACAGAGACCTAGAAGGTCTCTTTCTAGAGGTGCTTATGGCTAGTCTTCTTCCAGATAAGACTGTGGGGGTGGAGGTGGTGCTACTAGAGGCCTTCGAGCTGACTGTGACTCATGGCAACCCCGCAAACATTAGATCTGAACCTTATCCTACCCTGCGCCGTCTTCACTATCTCCGACATACACAAGCCTATTGTCAGTTACTCTTCAATCCTTGTCGAGCATCTTCCTCTCGTTTTCTGACCATCCACTTTCCTAGCATAATGTTTTTTGCTAAGAACTGGCCCCTTCTGGCCGCACATTCAAAGGCAGTGAGATGATGTTTCACCATCTTTACCTCTGAGGGTCGCCCTAAGTGCTTTTCCTCCTAGACAGACTTCTTTATTCTTTTAGCATTCCATGGTGTAGTCATTGCTCTTCTCCAAAAAGACAATTCTAAGGAACTTATTCTTCTATCATCCTTATTCAGAAAGCAACTGAAAAGGACTATGACTTGGATCTGACATCCTTGCTCTTCAGCATTTTGGTCCTTGACAGCAGATTTTCCCAAAGCAACCTGTCTTCTGATTTCTTGAGTGGTTAAACATGGAATCTTCAACAGAGATAACGTTCACTTCCAGTTAGGCCAACCTCTGATGGAATGTCCCCTTTATCTCTACCAAAAGTGGTTTTCCAACTTAGGCACCTACAGTGACGTTCCCCAAGTAAAGAAGCACCGGATCCAATCCTGAGAATGACAATACTTACCTTGGTTTTTCTATCTATTCACCCAAATCCCAAGGCTCTAGGTAAAAGGGAGCAAAGGACCTCACCTTTGGACTTTCATTATCTCTTCCTATTCTCTCTGCCTTCTCTTCTACTCTGGTCTACAGATAGCCACTAAACTATATCCTGGGGCATTGTAATGTTTCTGATAAGTGGTGTTCTTTCTTCTCTTCCTGGGAGGGAAGGATATTGCTCTTGAGGGCTGGTCTGCCTGAGAGATGTTGATGCAAATGCTTTAGAATGAGTTCATCCAACTCTTTTCCTCTATGGTGGAAGTGATGAGGTAGATACTGTGTTGTTGGGTATGTGAGTAGATGTGGGGGTCCAGAGAAGAGAAATGAAATAGGGAAAGGGAATCAACTTCCTGGGGTGTGGAGGCTGGCCCTGACATATTGAACTGTGTCTAATGACTTCAGCTCAGAGAGAATTCTTCTAGCACAATAGCAGAACAGACTTAGCTTTGGATCCTGTCCTATAACTTGCTATTTGGCTTAGGGGCGTGGTATGGTCATTTGTAGATTAGGAAGATGTCCTTGAAAGATAGTTTTGAGCAATAAATGTGAATACTTATGGAAAGCACTTCATAGCGTGCCTGATTTATAGCAAAAGCTCAGTAGAGTTTATTAGTACTTGTAAGCTTTACCTTTTCAAGAACATTGGTGTTATTGGTTTTCAACAGCTAGACGTGAAAAAAATCACCAAGATTTCATCTCTTATGAGGCCTTTCATTTACTGAGTCGTAGGGTGGCCTGGGCAGTTAAAGACGTGGCTGTTTACAGAAGGGTCAGTGGTTAGAATTTACCCAAAGTTTCTTCAAGAGAAAAAAAACCTAGCAAAAGTCAGCCGCTGAAAACTCTGCTCCGACACGTGTCGGGGTCACCACGAGTTGAAATTGTCTCAATGACAAATCCTCAGTTCCCTCATTGAGAAAACCTCTGTGGTCTTAGTAACAGTAGGAAATCCCCATGAGGTCTGCTCTGAGGCCGACTTCCCAGAAGTCTTCTCTGTGATACACTAATGCTTTCCACTGTTGCCCGCAGGGCAAAGGAGAACAAACAATTTTCTGGTTGAAAGGCAAGGAAGGCCTCACAATTCTGCTTCCTGAATTTGCTGAGGAAGACGCTAAAGTCCCTGAGATCTTCTGAGGCAAGTTCTGTGGGGGGCACAGAAAAGTCTGTGGGAAACCATTTCTTTGCAGTCTCCACTATATCCTTTTGTTATTTTTTTTAGTTGAGAAAGATGACTAAAGCGTGTTTTTAATTTATTCTCCTCTTTGAAAAGAGAGAGAAAGAGAGTTACTTTGCAAGGCACAATGTGAAACATCAGATCTCTAAAAATAGCTTATTTTTTTCTATTTATTTTTTTCATTTTAATGAAAATTTACAGACTTGGGATTTCCATTCATTCATTGTTGCACTTTTCTCCCCTCCCAACCCTCCCCTCAGCACACTCTTCTCTTTGAAAAGTAAAAGAAAAGTTCCCTCATTGTTTTACAATCCCTCCCCCCTCCTCCCCCAGGTCCCCTTGTTACTGAGGATAGGGGCACATCAACATCCACAGGAAATTAGTCTCGGGGTGGGTAGTTGAGCCAACCTCCCAGTAGAGGGAGCCATTTAGTGAGCTATAGCTCCCACCCTTGGGTTTGCTCCAGGCCTGCTGTTAGGTCCCATCAAGCTGGGTCTGGCTCAGAGCCCCTAGAACAATGAGACACTGTCTGACCTGCCTGCTCCGCACAATCACCCTCGTAATCATTGCCATGCTTGGGCCCCTTCTTACAGCCACTCTTTTCAATCTATCTCATTGGAGGCCTTTTTCTTTCATTGCTTACTCTCTGCTTTACCAAGCATAATATCCTTCTCCGGGGACTGATCCTCCTGACATGTCTCAAGTACATAAGACAAGGGCTTCACCAATCTCATTTCTTTTTTTTTAAATTTTTTTATTTTGTGTGTGTGTGTGTGTGTGTGTGTGTGTGTGTACACACCATCAAATCAAATCTGACTGGTACAGGAGGAGATGGTTCCTCCTTCTCCAGCAGTACATCTGGTGGATTTGAACCGTGCACCTCTGGGATTGCAGTGCAGCTTCTTGGCACTAGGCCACCAGAGCTCTCCACTACCAATCTTATTTCTAAGGAACATTCAATGACTGTATTGCTCCCAAGACACATTCATGGTAGAGTCAATATTCTTAGTCGATGTCATAATTCCCGGACTATAGCCTAGCAGGTAACTTGATGGCACATAATAACAACAACAACAATGTAGGCCAGAACAAGTGTGGGTTTGGCCAAGCTGGACATTTCCTGGAGGACCAGGTTTGTCTCTGGAGACTGTTGTCTTCATTGGTCAGCAAGCCTGCCCAGCTGATGGCTATTTCCAGCCCACTGAGTCGGTGAAGTCAGCTTTATTCTTGAAAAGATACAAGTGGGAGAATGAAAGTTGAGAGGCTCAGCCTTTCCTATTTATTGGCGGCACCTGCTGAGTTTGCCAGGTGACCTAACTTTTGTACTAGTTTTCCTTAGCACCTAATCAACCTGCAAAGAAATACTGCTGCTATGTACTGTTGAGGCAGAACTGACTCGGGTTTTCAGAGGCTGTAAATTACATGGGAGGAGTTTGCCCATTTTTCTCCCATGGAGCAGCTTGTGAATTTGAACTGTGTTCCTTTGGGTTGGCAGTGCAAGTCCTTACCACTAAGCCACCAGAGCTTCCTTGTGAGGAGATAGGAGGAGCCCTTTTCTTTTTTAATTTTAACGAAAGTTTACAGAGACTTAGGATTTCTAGTCATTCATTGTTGCACCTTTCTCCCTGCCAACCCCCTCCCACACAATTCACTCTTTTCCTTGAAAAGAAAAACTCTTTCATTGTTAGGCAATTCCCCCTCCCCCCAAGTCCACTTCATTATGCAGTCTTCACTCTGGACTTCTGTGATGACAAGAATACCCATCCATATGTCCCTTTTAAACAGTTCTCTCCCTCATCTGTTTCAATGCAATATACATCATTCCTCCCCTCCTTTTCTGTCTTCTCTTAACCCTGATGTCAGTCCCATTTTACAACAGAGGCCAGATGCAATATTTGTCCTTTTGTGATTGAGATATTTCACTCAGCATAACGTCCTCCAGGGTCATCCATTTTGCATAATATTTCATTAGTTTCTTGTTTTTCAATGCTGCATACTATTCCATTGTGTGAATATACCAGAGCTTCTCTATCCATTTGTTTGTTGATAGGCACTTGGGTTGTTTCCAACTCTTTGCTATTGTGAACAAAGCCATCCTTTCTAAACGCTTCTCACGTAAGTGCAGAAGGCATCTCCAGTGCGTTCAGGGGAGAAAGCCCTAAGATGTGAGTGCTCTGTGAATTCAAGTGTTGATGCTGTTACAAGTAGTCAGGCCCTGTGCAGAGGCTGGAATGGATCATTCCTTACCCATAGGTCCTGTGAGTACTTCATCTGCCAAGTGGATACTGTCCTGTTATTGAGTACCGCCGAGTCAGAACCAACCCATAGCTGACCCTCCAGTGGCTATTCAGAGGCAGTAAATTGCACGGGAGGAGATTGCTCATCCTTGGCCCACGGATCTGCTGGTGGATTTGAACTGCTTATGTTTGGGGTTGCAGTGCAGCTTCTTACCACTAGGCCATTGAGTCCTCATTTATTTCTCTCCCTCCGCTCCCCATTACCCCAGAATGGAAACAATTGGACAAAGTTGGTTTTTACATACCTTGTCACTTCTTCTCTTGTTTTAGATCAGTGTGTCTGGAACCCTATGTTATTTCACCTTGAAAAATGACCTTTATAATGAGGCCCTTGTTTCCATCCATACCGATGGACATTTGATTATTTAAAGGATAATTTATTGAGCACTTACTCTGCGTCAGGTACCACCCTGGGGGACATGAAAGAATATGATGACTACTAACTCTCAGTGTGGTTATGAAAGAAGATAATTGGTTGTAATATAACATGTAAAGGGCTGGTAAATACATGTGTAAAAGTGGAAATCCAGTGAGTTAAGAATTCTGGTATTATAACATTAAAAAAATGGAAAATCGTACGGGTGGAGGTAGATAAGGCAGTTGTCCCACTTTTGTTTTGGGGGGGGGGTCTGTGTGCTTGTTCCCTTCTAATCCTAGACATATATAAACCTTTTTTAGCTTATTAAAGAAAGACTTTGTTAGCATTTCCATTTGCATTGAATATTATAACAAATGTGGCATCTATACAAACATGTACACATAAATACCCATATGTGAATTCACAATTGTTTACATACACACACGAACACATACACATACACACATGACCCACACTTGTATGTCACAACTATGTGCTTATTAATGAGCATTTCTTTATTAGGAGGGATTTCTGAGACAGATTATTTTGAAAGCACCTTTTCTTGGTTCCCAAGTAGAGCAGGTTCGGGGCAGGACGGACCACCCAGCGCCATGGGATTGTTACTTCACCTCAGGTCAAGACACATCCAGTTGCTGGTGAAGGATGTTAGAACTTGGTAGGCAGCGTTATGATCAAAGCGACTTCCCCTCCTATCCCACTATGTTAATGTTATGAAATGGCTTTCATTTCTGATGTTGAAAATCTAGAAATTTTCAATTGTGAATGTAAAATAGAATGATGAGAAGTCTGCAGTAGAAATGTGAATCTAAGAAGCTTTGGTTGAAGAAACCCCTGGGAAATTTGAGGAATTGGCTGTCACACATGATATATTTCTGCTGTACAGTCTAGTAGATTATTTATTGTAAGGCATTTTATTTATTTCATAGCACCAGGTAGAAATACAACAGCATAAAAATGATGATATAATCAAGCAAAACTACCACAACATTGTTTTATTCTGACAGCTAGGATTTATGATTATGATTATAAATGTGTTATTCAAAAGGTTTTGACTAGAACCAATAAAAAATTTCTTCTGTTTTTCCTGACTACAAAATAGAGTCTGAACTTAGAGGGGGGAAATGGCCCCTTTTTGGTAAGAGCATCAGCTTTGAGATCAAGGTTAGACCATATTGGAATGCTTTCATCTTGTCTATTGCTAAACAAATTTGAACTCTCGGCCCCTAGAAATACTAGTACTAATTTAACTTCTGGGTCCACTGTCACAAGTTCTGAAAGAAATACCTTGGATGCATTAAATACAGATTAATATACTCGAATATTCTTTTCAATTTATACACCCACTACTTAAGTCTGTGACAAGAAAAGACGTTACAATTCTGGCATCTCCTACCACATTGGAGCCTCAGCCTGAGGTCCCCAGCATTCTCAGGGCAGCCAGTTATCCATGATTCTGTTTGTATTCTGTTGAGGATGTAGACTAGTGTTACCAGCATGTTTTGGATCCCTGCCATGCCCACACTTCGATGGTGTGCTACCTATGATTTCACTGGCTGTGTTCACCTCTACAGTTCTGATTTGTGTTGATTCCATTCTGCTGATCAAAATGAGATAAATCTAGACATGAGCATGACTGTTCAAAGAAAGACTGGATGAGGCCAAGACATCCTGTGTGGAGGAGGATTTCCCAGAAGAGGAAGCAGAAAACAGTAATACGAGCATGGGGCATAAGGAAGAACAAGGTGCCATTGAACTTGTGTCACAGTGGCGATACTGTGGTCTTGGTGTGAGTAGCAATTTCAATTAGGAAAAGCTGTATTTCCTATCTGCTAAATTAGTGCTACTGTGAATTTTATTCATCACATGGTTGTGGTTCTATTTAATATGCATTTTCCATGTGCCTTAACAAGTACTTTTTAGTCATAAAAGTACATATGCTTTTAGGTATCCAAGAAATCCTAAAATAAAAATGAAATACTTTAATGATGCCAACAGTAAAACAGGTGGATGATAACTGAAAGGTTGGAAGTTTGAATCTACCCAGAGTCAACTTGGGGTGAGGCAGGGAATATAGGGCTAGTGGTCTCAATGGAAAAACACCCTTTTACTGACACCCTTTCAGAGCTTTACTCTGGTGTATGTGCAGTGCCCGAAAATTAGAGTCAACTCAATGACAACTGGTTTTAAAAGAAAAAAGCAAATGAACTTTAGGGGATCTCGTAAATCATTTGCCTTATACTAGTCAAGTTTGAGTGAAACTTTCATATGCCTCTCAAATTCTGTCACTGGAAGGACTGGAACTGTCTAGTCAGTGACTCAGACCTGGTCATTAGACTTGCACAGTATCAGTGGCAAAGCCCCCTCTCAGCGAAGCGGGCTAGTCCCATGCACGCTATATACTTCACATCGACTTTGTGGTTATACCTGATGTGTACCTACAAACACTCAGCCGCCCACAATTGTATGTTGCTAGTCCTTATCTGATGCTGGGGGAGCTTAAGTAGACTCCCTCCCTCCCCAGGAGCAAGGGAGGGACCGCAGGATCTACGAGAAAGAGGGACACCAAGAGAAAAACAATCACTGAAATTCACAAAATTCACTGTGACACATATTTGGCAAAGCACTATTCTCTGCCCCCCCAACAATACAGTCTCCTGCTGGTTCTCTTTGGACAGCGCCATCAGCGTGAGTTTGTCGTCAGCCGAGGGGATGACGATGGAGGGGCTTCCACAGATGCCGGGCTCCCTCCTACAAGATGCCACAAATCCCTAGCATCACGATGAGGTGGTAGAGCACGTCTGTGGACCGGGAGGGAAAGGATCGACATGGTCAGCCAGCGGGCCACGAGGGCAAAGACAACTGCACAAAAGTCACCATGGGTGTGAAGTGGGTCGGCATCAAACTCTACATTTCCTACAAAGGAGTTTCTTACTCTATTGGAGTTCTTGTGTAATAACTATCATGGATCACTCTAGGTGATGGAATCTCTATTTCGTATAGGAAATCTGCCATTCAGTGTAGGACTTTGATTTTACAACTTCCCCTGAAAATAGGAATCTAGGAATCGGGATGGGTGTGTCAGAGGCAATGAGATTGGCACAGGATAGAGCAGGGTTTAGGGCTGTTGTGCATAGGGTCGCTATGAGTCACAAACGACTCGACAACACATAACAAAAACAACAACAGATCGTCCCTAAGGTGGAATCATATCATATTTGTACTCATCTATTTCACTTACTCAATATTTTTGCATTCAATGCGTAACTCTTCCTATGCCTTCCTTCATCCTCTTGAATTCCGTTTTTTATCATCATTTACATGAAAAATTTTTTGTACTTGTTTCTCAATGAGCATTTCCATGTTACAAAAGTCCACTATTTTTCTTAGCACTTTTGTTGTTTGTTGTTGATTACTGTTGAGTTGAGCACGCCTCATAGCAACCCTATGAACGAAAGACCTTAAGCATTTCTACAACTATGCTCATTTCTCAAAGTCCGTTTCCGAAGACATGCTATTTAGAAAGTGGATTCCTCTCCTGTTTCCAGACTTATCTTAAACTGGGAGCTCCATCTAACAACTGTCCACCATGGGTGACCATTATCCCATTTGACAACCCAATGGCACCTGGTTCAGCATCACAGCAAACCCAGGTTGTCTCAGTACAACATGTTGACAGAAAAGTGTAGTAACAATTAGAATGTTTATCTAACTGACAGCTAAGGAAGCAAAGGAGGATGGAGCCTCTGGGTTCAACCAGCCATCCGCACTGGACCCACCTGGGAAAACACTTTGCAGTCCAGAGGGGAGCAAATGACAGGAAAATATCTTCTAACAGAGCAAGAAGGCAAGCAGCTGTAACC